AAAGTAATAGAGAGGATGAAAGGGTGGCAATTTTTCAACCTTATATATTTTTGGGCCTCAAACAGAAATAGGGCTGGGCATTTTTTTTCAACTATGTGGAAAATGGTGCACTGATGCATGGTCAAGACCATCCAATTGTGGTGGTGCCACACTTGTGTATGGGTTCCACATTTCTATAGAGTGTGCCGAGGGTTTGCACTTTAGTGCTTTTCATTATCTAAAACTCCTCACCTCAATCCACGTCATCCAGGGCCCTCTCAACTCCACACTCGCCGGAGGTATGACATCACCACTGCTTAATTGCTTGGCAACCTGCAACCAAGGAGACAGCTATGTAAGAGTGATTGGACCAATCAGAAGACAGACGGAAGTGAGGAGAGGGAGGGTTTCGGCCGGAGGGTGACCCAACTTCACGCCTGCCTTCGCAGCCACAAGTCCGTAGAGCCACGCCCTAGCTCCGCCCACTTTGGAAAGAGCCGAGTGGAAACACTGACGAGCCAGCTTCAGAAGGCCACGCCTACTTCTCTCCGCCCATGACATCAGTTCCACTTTCCCCGAGTAGAGATGAGGCTGTGGGCGGAGTAAGTAGGTGAGGTAACGATCAAACTTTATCTACACCTGCTGTATGTATGAAGGTGTACTTTGCAGTTTTGAATTACGCTGAACAATAGGGTCCACCTCGTTAGAATGCACTGTATTCCACTCTCTTGAATGGGAGTGTCACGGTGAATGTATTACCATGGTGATAATCTGGGAGCAATATGATTGGACGGTATAACAGAAGAGACCATACTGTGTGAGGGAGTAAATAGGAATGAAGGTGTAGTCCATCAGAACTGAGTGTCAGGACACACCTTCTCAGTGATGTAATGATGTTGGGAGCCAAGAGCCAGGGCCCTCTTGAAACACCTACACGGCAACAAATGTACTAATTTGTAGAGTGAGGCTAGTATGAAGAAAGAGAAGTAGAATAAGGGCCAGTCTGTTAAGGACCTCATGGGTACCATACAGGACACCCGAGTGTAAAGCCCTGTCTGTGGTTCCAGTGTGTGTCAGGTCTATGGTTGCCGAGCGCGTTAGCGTGAGGCAACTACTCTGGGTTGTATCCTCGCGATATGCGTACGTACGTACGTCGTCAATTAGTCACGCTTAGGAATGTCAATTAGTCACCAAAAGGAAGTGTAACTTCCGCCGTGCGCGCAGATTCGTAGGAAGTCAGGCTTCGCACGCAGTCAGTAGAAAGTGGCCTCAGTCGGACTGTTTACGCATTGGCTGGCAGGCGCGAGGCAAAATATGCGCGTGTGCATTCCTAGTATTATGGTATGACGTAGTACACAGGGCTAGGGCTCCAGTGTGTGTTAGGTCTATGGTATTATGGTATGACGTAGTGTAAAGCCCTGTCTGTGGTTCCAGTGTGTGTTAGGTCTATGGTATTATGGTATGACGTAGTGTAAAGCCCTGTCTGTGGTTCCAGTGTGTGTTAGGTCTATGGTATTATGGTATGACATAGTACACACCTCAGAATAGGTGTGACTTGTTTCTGTAACACTGCCTCCATCCCACCTCTCACGTCTCTCTGGTTGAATACCAGCGATGTAATGATGACATCGTCGTAATAATAGAACTTACCCGGTCCAGTTTCTTCATAACAGTTCTAGCTCGGGCCAGGGCAAGCCCCGCCCAGGTGTCCACTCTCTCTGGACAGTAGCAGACACTCTGAGTGTAGTTATGTAGGGCTGAGCTGGAAGAGAGAGAGAGAGAGAGAGAAGAAGAAGAAGAAGAATGAGAAGAGAAGAAGAAGAAGAAAAGAGGGAAGAGAGGGAGAAAGAGAAAAGGAGGGAAGAGAGGGAGAAAGATAGATACACTCACAAAAAGTCACTACTCTTGAGAGCATCGTCTGCCAGAAGGTAGAATATCTCGGAGACGAGGGAAGTGTGGGGAGCTGGAGGAGAAGGAAGTGGCAGGCTCTCCAGTCTCCCCTCGATGTAGCCAGCAATGACAGACAGTGGAATTACTGGAGAAGAAGAGGAGAGGGTGGAGTTTCTCTAAATAAAACCCACCCTCCTTACCTTTCCCTGTGTCAGGAATGATATCCACCAGTTTTCTGTACAGTGACACCAGCTGCATGAGGGAAGGGACAGGAAATTACCTCTTACTGTTTTCACCTAATAGCATACCTCTGGAGTGAGAGCTCTATTCTCCTCCACGGCAGGCAGGAATGAAGGATGATAGAACTCCAGCAGTACCTGGGCAGAGTCCCACGTCAGAGGCAGCTGGAGCAGAGGAACCTGGAATGGGAATCAGCACCAAAGATCTTGTATATACCTGCTCAGCTCCATGATCTTGCAGCCCCCAGGCCTGTATACACATGATGTCAGTCAGTATTATTATAGTATCCTCTGTACATAAGTCTTGCCTTGGCCTTCTTATGAGGATGACCATAGAGACAGTAGTAACATTGTTCCAGCTCCCTCAACAGAGCCTGACACACACACACACACGCACACACACACACACACGCACACACACACACACAGTTGTAGTACGTAGAACATGTTGTCAAAGCACTATTACACTGGTCTACACAGTTGCATGCGTGAATCGTGAGGGGCCAGATGTTAAGGGATAGTGAAGATTTGCTCACTGCTGTCTGGTTTATTTACTTAAACAAGTTATGAACGAGATAGGGGGAAGATGACTGCACAAACCACTCGTGTCTTGGGAGGGTGTGCTGTCAGTTGTCGCAGCTCTTCCCTCAGTCTGCACACCAGGATGTGGAGGATTCGACCTTTGTCCCCCACACACCACCCCTGCCCCCCTCCTCCCAGGTAATCATGGACATCACAGAGGAACTGAAGTCCCCAGCGAGACCCCGACACTCTGCACCCCTCCTGATTGGTCGTCACGGCAGGGGACGCTCCCAAAATCGCTTCTCTATCTGTCTCCTCGACAACAACAGGTAGCTGCTCAGTTTCGGTTTCCATGACGTCGACACCGGGCTCGGGTCTCGTTTCCATGGCAACATCACCATCCTCCCACAAACTGGGTAATGAGTGAGGTAAAGGAGGCAATTAAAGTGTGAAATTGTTGTGCTATGTGTGGAAGCGAGGGGAACCTGAGGAGGGAGAAGTAGAGGACGGAGCAGGGAAGGGAGAGGGGGAGGAGGTGGAAGAGAGGAGAGTCTGTCATCTCCACCTGCAGCTCCAGGGTCTGCGGATTACCACCAGCCATCATCCACAGGGACAGAGAGAGAGAGAGAGAGGTGAACTAGACTCACTCTGAACACACAGACCACCAGATGTCGCTGGAGACTCTCTCCACATTCCTGCAGCAAATCACCAGGGGCTTCCTCCAGACATCTGTATAATTACCATGACAACTGTCACGTGATAGTCAGGTGACAGACTGTCGACCTGTCCAGGTGAGTGTAGACAGTGTGCAAGGCAGAGACCCATCTCTCGTTGCCCAGCTTGTAGCTGACCAGGAGCTCCTGGAGTCCAGCCACACTGCACAACAGGCACTCCTGCAGTTGGGGTTGTAGTGGACAGGTAGATAGGAAGGAATGATCATGACTACCTGCCATCTTTTCATGGCCAGGAGAGAGAGAAGCAGCAAGGAGATTGGAGTCTGCTCTTCATTATCTCCTCCTCCAAGCAGTAACTGGGAGAAATTGTCGGAGGTCCAGTCCAGCATGGGTCTGAGACATGAGACGACACCAGAATGGTCTCCAGACTCAAACATACCAAACACCTGCAAAACAGAGAGTATAGAATTCCATTTCTCTCTCTCCTCTTCCTCACCTCCTGTGATGCCAACACCTGCTCCAGATCTTTTATCTTCCTGGAGACCTGGACTGTGGGAACAATACCCCATACTCCATACCCTACACACCATACTCCATACCCCATACCCCAGGCCACCCTCACCTGGCGATATGCAGGGGTCTTGTCTGAGGTTTGGCAGGACCTGCACACGGCACCTCTTCTCCTCCAGTAGACAATGACACTCCCTCAGAACAGCCAGTGCTCCTCTGCTGTCCATTTCCAACTGTCTCCTCTTGAACATACACCACCTCACTGTGGGAGATTACATCATTATGACATCACCCCATTGCGAGACTAGGGACTCATTGGGGACATTGAACGTGTTTTTTATTTAGAGGTGTTCCCCTTTATGCTGTACACTAATGTTACGTCAGTATCCTTGATTTAGTTATCCACAAGCTATAGTGCAGGAGCCATTGAGTGTGGTGGAAATGGTCACCTCTGAGTAGGAATTCCTGGCTCCCACTCCAGCCATTGTCACTGCAGCTCATCTGGGAGAATGAGAGAGCCTGAGAGAGGGACAAGGGGGTGGGGCTGCTGGGACACCGCTGCAGATGGTCCAGCTTGAGTTCGGAGTAACACTGACAAATCTGGAGTGGAGTACACCATTAGTATTACCCCTATGGAGTTACTCCAGAGTTCGAACAAGAAACTTTAGACAGAAACATTGGCACATCTCTACCTCGAAATGCAACCATGTTTCACATACCATGGCCGTATTCTGAAGACTGATGTAATCAGGATCACCTGGTGAGCTGTGGACAGCATGTGAGAGATGTGTGAGTGAGTATGTGGTATATACATACCAGAGAGGAGAAGGGAAGATGAGATGAGACTGGACCAGTTCATACAGCTCCATATACACCTTGACTACAGAGAAACTAGTCTCCGACCTGAGATATGTGTGTGGGTAGCAGTGATATGATAATGGGTTGCTGATTGAGGGGTGCCTCACCAGTGCCAGTTATAGCGCTGGGCTAAGAGGAGAAGGTAGTTGTATATGAGGCTGACAACTCCACTGTTGGATAGAGATAAGTAGTCCAGTACCATAGTCATGACTATATATAGGCATAGTGCAATACACGAAATCTGTGGGCTACAGAAGTAGACACTACACCAAGGAAAATAAACGTTTGTATAAGCAGAACAAACACGGAAAGAACGGAAGAGTAAAAAATAACGTTTTGATTTTCCACTGTGTCCACTCCACTTGGGACCCTAACCCACCAAAACACACATCACCACCCACAAAGATCATTCTGTACTGAACACAATTAGTATACCTGTTTCTACTGTGTTCTTGAAGAAAGGCTTTAACTACATGGCTGGACAGTCGAGGCTGGTCGAGAACGCTGCAATCTGATTGGTCGGTAAAAGAGGGTAGGGGGGCTTCCCCAGATAGGGGCAGTGGCGACAGAGCACACACATCACCAAACTCACACCCTCTGCAGCAGCAAGGCTGTCATGTGACCATCACATGATATTCATGTGACCCACCTGAGGCACTCTGGGAGGAAATGAGCAAATCTTTCACTGGCACACACCTGCTCCCTTCGTGACTTGACCTTCTCAATATCAGAGCCAGTGGAGTGGGGGGAGAGGTGGGAGAGAGAGGTGAGAGAGAGTGGAATAGGAGAGGAAATGTACTAACTCGAGAGGATCGTCTCTTTGGCAGCACAGGTGTAGGGAGATCAGGATTCCTCCTCTTTGCCTCTCTCCTCTCTCCCTCTCCACTCTCCTCCTCACTCACCTCCTCTGCACACACACACAGGTTGCAGTGGGTACAAGTGGGTGTGGCTTACCAGAGGAAGTGGGCGGAGCCAGATTAACGAGGTTAGGGAGGAGGGGTCTCTCACTGGTTCCTTCACACAACAGTTGAACGTCAATTGGGGAAGCAAGACTGGGCTAGGGGGTGAAGTCAGAATCACACGACAGTCATGTGACCAATAACTCACCGAGGAGAGAGAGATACAGTGGCGATATAGGGACACCAGACTCTGCCCCAGGGAATGCAGACTGTGCCAAGGAGATCATGTGATACCCTAGCAACATTTTACAATGTATCCTAGCAACCATATGTACCTGTAATATGCTAGTGGTTTCGGAGGCTTGATTGGCTCCTCGAGAACTTTGACCTCCAATAGAAGGCCACGCCTCCTGGCAAGCTGTTTGGCTTCTTCGACCAATTTTTCAGTTTCTGGTGGGCATGGCTTCATGAGGTAGCTGTTGGGAAAGTCGTAATTTCAGAATATTAGTCTTAACTGTTTCGTACTTTTAGCAACAATGTTTGGGGAAGGACAGACCAATTAACCATCGTGAATACCTAGACTACAGCTGGAGAGTGCAGTGCAAATTACTCTATATATTTATGACGTGAAAAAATTGGGTATAAAGGGCCCGTAAGTGAGGGGAAGTAAAACGTTGCAAAACGGTATATATCCTAACATGTAGACACTCACAGCCTTAGCCTTGGCATAAAGGTCAACAGTTGAGGTGAGGAATCTGCCAGATGGTGCAAATATGCCAGTCCTGCAGTCACATGACAATAGGGAAGGGTCATGTGACATCAGTCAAATACCATCTGATACGATGGAGAGATCATGTGACTCACCTCTTGGGAAGTCGGGGAGATGAGGGAGGACCTCGCTAATGAGCTGAAGACAACCTGTGAAATGATATTGGGTGGAGTCACTGTAGAGCCACACCCCCAATCTAAATTACTGATGTCATCGTTAAGAGCGAGAAGCAAAGAACACAGGAGATCGATAGCCGGCCAATAGTGGGCGTGGCACCTCCTTGCCTACCAACAAAAATATGAAAATCAGGCCACACGGAGTAAGGTAGAGAGAGTGTACCTCATCCAGAGCAGTTCTGGCTAGCAGAAGGTTCCCGAGAGAGGTGGCTGCCAGACCCATCTGGTACCAGACTGTTACATCACTTCCATCCACATCTACTGCCTATAGGACACACCGACAGTGACAACAGTGGATTATACACTTAATAATTAATCCTCAAAACTGTAGTTTGCAAAACACGTGTGGTACTTAAATTTCACAGGTAGAGATAAAATTAGAATGGGGAAAAATTTCATTTGAGATAGTGGATAATATTTTTTTAATCTCCACACACCTGTATGAAGGCATCCAGAGCTGCTGAGTCGTCTCCACAGCCACGAGCAATGCTCCCAAGATTTTTGAAGGTCAGAAACTTGAGTCTCAGCATTGTAGCCTCAGCCTGAAAGACAGACGATAAAACACACAGCAATCACATTATCTATGCCTGATTCGCAGTCAGTGGATTGTTCAAGCTGTTTCTCTATTGAGGTCTTCCCTTCAACTTACCTCTTCCATAACCTTTGAGCCCAGGATCTCGCAATACAGAGCTCTAGCTCTGCCCGTCTCCCCGGCCTGCTGTAGTCGAATGGCCTCGTGGTACCTCTGCAGACAGCCTGACTCCTGTATGCAGACGACGTGTTCTGCAACCACCGCAGGTAACTAAGGGTGTACCTGAGCCTCTCTCGTGGCTTTCCTCTCTGGGGGCTCCGGCCGTGCAGTCCTCTCTGCGGACGTCTCCTTGTTCAGAGCTGCGAACTTCATCTTCCCTCCTTCTCCAACGTTAGACGATGGACAGAAGGGGTTAAAGATAAACCACGCCTCCCCGCGCGCGCACCCCGTCGTATGACAACCAATGACGATGCGTGACGCAAGTGCAACCTGCTATAAATACCCCGATTTTCTGCAGCAGCATCAACCTGTCGTGGATCAAACGAGGTCGTAAGAATGGCAACAGGAGCAGATTATTTGGGCAACGCAGCATGGGTGAAGAGAATGGAGCAGCTCTTTGACTCATATGACCTGGACAAGAACGGCCAGATCACCAAAGATGAGTTCCACACGAGCATCAACAAACTTTCCCAGAAGGTCACTGACCGCCCGGAACTCATCGAAAAGCTTCGAAAGAGCACTGTAGAGCTAACGGACGCACTCGGGCTGGGCGACGGGGTAAAAGCCGATAGGAAAAAGTTCGTGGAACTGTTAGCAGCGTTTGTGGTGGGGGAGAAGGCGAAAACCCTCATAGAAAAACACAACGTTGCCTTGTTTGATGTGGTGGACGGAAACAACGATGGAAATCTGACTTGGGATGAATACAAGTCTGTCATGGAGGTCAGTGGGTTTGATGAGGCCACTGCTAAAGCCGCCTTTGATACGCTCGACAAGAACAAGAATGGAAAAATTGATCGCAAAGAGCTGGCGTCAGCTGATCTGAAGTTCTGGACTGGTTTGGACTGAAAGTAAAGACCCGAACTCAATTAAAACTTTCAAGTCATATTTTCCCATGTAGAACTAGCTGGTTAATCACAAAGTAGAATCAGAATCTGCAAAATGCGAACGCGCATGCGTACATGTTCACGATGCGCATGCGTGGAAACACGTCAAGCACACACACATCATCATGGCAGGTCTCGGTGTGTGCAGAGGAAGACTGAGCGGTCACAGAGCCTCTATAACACGTTGTCTGAGGGTAAACCAGCTTCAGGTACTCCGACAACTCTACCAGCAGTAAACTAGTAAACCTTGAGGCTGTGTCCTCGCATACAGACGGCAGAGTTTTCGTTGTCAGCAGCTCGCCAGCTGCCGAAAGCCAGGACCAACACTCTGATAAACTTCGTTCCTCAGCAGCAAGCGTGGATTGTGGAGAGGTTCGGGAAGTACCTCAAAACCTTGCAGCCTGTGAGGATAACTACTAGACCCTGGAGCATTGCGCATTTCCATTTCTGATTGATTCCATGGCCTAATTGCAGGGGCTGAATGTCCTTATTCCAGTGGTGGACCAGATAAAATATGTCCAGAGTCTCAAAGAGACTGTGGTGGATATTCCCTCTCAGTCCGCCATCACTGAAGGTATGGTATTCTCCCTGTTGAGATTGTATACTATCATTACTGTAACCCCATGAGTGAGCCTGTTTTCAAAGATTTTGTTGCTATTCTGCATGCTACCTGATTGTATGCATACGCGTTGGTGTGCCACATGTAAAGCTTTTATAAAGTACTTGTTAGCTTTAAAATGAAGAGCTGAATCCACTCTACAGATAACGTAACTCTACATCTTGATGGAGTCCTCTACTATCGCGTCATTGAACCTTACCACGTGAGCTGCCTTAATTTCTGGTTACATCATAATGACATGACTGCTCCACCAGGCATCCTATGGGGTCGAGAATGCAGAGTATGCAGTCGTTCAGTTGGCACAAACTACAATGAGATCGGAGTTAGGTTTGTATCCAAATAATTATCACGAAAGACAGGGTTTACCCACCTCCACATACTGACAGGGAAGATAAAGTTAGATTCTGTGTTTCAGGAGAGAATGAACCTCAACCACATGATTGTTGGTAGGTCTGAGATCACATGACAGTCACATGATTCACGAAGCTCCTCCTCCTCTCTTTAGATGCCATAAATTATGCGGCGGAGGCGTGGGGGCTGCGTTGTCTGAGGTATGAGATCAGAGACATACAGCTGCCCACCAAGGTGAAGGAGGCCATGCAGATGCAGGTATTCATTGTGTGTGTGTGTGTGTGTGTGTGTGGTGGGGGGGTGTAGATCTATAATGGAATTTTGGTTAGAAATCTAATTGCAACCAGTTTTGACAAATCCTTATGTTGTGTGACTGTATGTAGGTCGAGGCAGAGAGGAAAAAGAGAGCCAACATCCTTGAGTCAGAGGGTGAGTGAAGGGAGGGGGGAGAGTGGGTAGTGACGGTGTGTATTTATGTGACCTTAGGGATGAGAGAGTCAGCAGTGAACAGAGCTGAAGGTCTGAGGCAGAGTAAGATCCTCACCTCTGAGGCTGTGCGGATCGAGCAGGTGAACCAGGCAAAAGGAGAGGCATCCGCCATCTTGGCTCGAGCCACCGCACGGGCCAGTGCTCTCCTCACACTCGGGAAGGCTCTGGGTGCAAAGGTCAGCCAAACGCTCCTTTCGTTCCTCGTGATGGACTTCAGTTTCTCTGGTATGCTCAGCATGGGTCAAGTGCAGCGTCACTGGCAGTGGCAGAGCAGTATGTACAGGCCTTTGGGAAGCTGGCTAAGACTGGGAACACTCTTCTTCTACCAGAGAAGACTGGAGATGTTGGCTCAATGGTGGCTCAGGTATTGTACCGACTGGGTTCTATTTAGTGCCCTCCCGGTAATGGGTGTTCTTTGCAGGCAATGGCTATCTACAGCCAGATGACATCAAGAACAGTGGCCGGGGAAGAGGACGGAGAAGATGAGGAAGGGGAAACGAGGGACAAACTAAAACAGGTGACGGACGAGGCAACCAAAGACCTGGAGGAGGTTCTGAGTCAACTCAGTGTCAGTATCGAGGACCTCACCTCAGACCGGGGCTCCGCCTCCCCTGCCACGCCCACCCAGCCACACCCACCTCCTCATTTCACTCTTGCCGACTCCCCCACGAACCACAGGGGACCAGAAATTAGTCCCCCTAGAGATCCAACCATTGTATGAAACAACAAATAAATCATGTCCACACACACAGACAATACTGAGCAGCTGGCATTATAATATAGACAATGATGTCACAATGATGTCAGGTTCAAGTGAGAGAATGACTCGACATGCTATTTTCATTACGGAACTATTAACCATTAAGTCACACTATATATAGGCTGGCTGAGGGGGGCTACTGAATCAGCCTGTTGACAGCGGCATTCAGATCTCCTCCTGTCTCTATTAGAGCTGCAGCAGGAGGAATAGACACCACCCATGTTACACTGCACATCAACTACACATTTGTGCACAGACAAAACCAGCCTCGAGAGCTGGGTCATGTGACAGTCACATGATCCCCGATCTCACCAGTGATGTTCCTCTGTCGGTCAGAGAAGCCCATGTTGGCCAGTTGCTCCAGCTGTGAGCGGTACAACACCTCTGCCTGTTGCTGCTGAGTTAGAGGAGACGACTGCATTCCTGAGGGCTCCGCTGGTTGCTGGGGCGACGACTGAGGAGCCGCGGTAGATGTGGTGGTAGGCGTTATTTGGGACAATATCTGCTGGAGCATGTCTGGAGTGACACCGCCGGTTGCCTGGTCAGAGGAAGAGGGAGGGGGCGGAGCCGTCGACCTGGATGAGTAGTGGAGGGAAAAGACCAACGTGTAAGATAATCTCATACAACTTCAATGTATGGGTATGATGGATCCAGGGAACAATGCAAAAGAAGTTTGTACACAAATATATGATGCGTCGTGTATGATACACGTACCCATTCTGCTGGTTGAGTAACAAGGGATTAGTGGCCTGCAGTCGCATCATTCCCTGCTGGATCTGCATCATGGCGCTCATCGCCTCCGGGTTGCTCACCAGCTCACGAAACTCTTCCCTCTGCATCTGATGGTCAGGTGACAGTCACATGATAGTCACACGCGGTACGGAGATTTCTCACCATTTGGGCTGACTGCCGAGCCATCTCAGCAGCCTGTGGGTTGTTGGCAAACATTGGATGACTCCGAAACATCTACCACGGGAAGGAAATTTAGTGGATTAGGGGTTAAACTCCACACTGACAGGCTACCTGTTCCATTAGCTGAGGATTACTCATGACCTGTTGCATCATCTGCTGGTACATTGGGTTCTGGGGATGTGTGGATCACATGACATCATGTGACTGTCACATGATCTCAGTAGATATCTATACCTGCATTAGAGTGGCCATTGTCTGAGGATCAGGCATGCCGAGACCTCCACCTCCTCCCTGGTTCTGCTGTTGCATCTGACTCTGCAGCTATATAGTAACAACTCACACACAAACAGTAAGTACATCTGGAAACATTTTGTTTAGCATTTGAATTCAGTAGGCATGCCGGCCAATCTGCCAGATTTTCCAGTCCAAAAGTGAACAACGAGAGAGAGTTTTCCAATAAAGACACCACGATCCGCAGGGCTGCCAAACGTGTTTTGACACAGGTGTAGAGTATGCATGGAATATGTTGCACGCTACATTGGTGCTGTGTTTGTATATATGCGATGTACAGCAACAGGTGGAGTAGAATAAGACCTGTTATCAATAGGAGCATGGTCTGTGAATGCTTCAAAAGACCTTTACGCCACTACCCACAACACATAATGTTGTTGGAGATGTATAATTATTATACAGGCATATGCCCACCTGCATTAGCTGACTCATCATTTCAGGGTTACTCATGGCTTGCTGCATCATCTGGTGACCAACCATGTCACATATTATCTTACGGACAGAAGCCATACCTGTTGCTGAAGCCCTAGTCCAGACTGAGAAGCCACGCCCCCTCCAGACCCACTGGCACTGTGATGACATCACAATTATGTCATAGCTAGCTAATGATTCTTCACAAGGCTCACCTGGAAGCTGTGGTGGTGGTCGTCGTGGAAACAGTCCGTGACGAGGAAGTCCCTGTCGTTCTGGGGGCAGAAGAGGTGGCACCACTGGCCCAGGGGTTTGGAAGGGGGGCAGTATTTGGAGTTCCCTGGGGAACTGACGGGCCCGGACTAGGGGTACCTGGTGCAGGGGGGAAACGACTAGTGAAGGGAAACCAAATGAGAGAATTTACTTTGTTGCTGACTGAAGAGAGCAGAGAACGGGTTGTTTTGCATCTGTTGCTGGATCTATAAACACACACACACACACACACAGCAGATCGGTGAAATAAGAGAGAAAAAAGAAATACTGAAAGAGAGAGATAGGAGGGAGAGAGACTCACAGATTCCTGTGCAGCGTCCATCATGGGTTCCTGGATCTCATGGTACATTCTGGCTAGAGCATTGAACCCTCCGGGAATACTCTGAGAGGGGATGGGTGTTAGGTGAGATGTAATCAGGAGGGTACAGACCTCAATATTGGAAAGCTGTCTGTCCTGGGACCTCATCATCTCCCTCATGGCTGCTGGGTTGCGGGCCATCTCCATTGCCTGCCGCATCAGCTCTGGATTGTGCAGCACGTGAGTCAGCTCTGGGTTCCTCTGTTCAGTGAGAAGAGAAGACAGTGAGAGAAGAGTGGCACAGGAAGGAGAACATTGTGATTGACAAACTAAAAGACGGTGTGTGTTTGTGTGAGCGAGAAAGGATAGATAGAGGTAAGAGGTAAATGTTCCACCTCCATGAGCTGCTGTATCTGAGGGTTTGAGGTGAGCATGGACTGCAGAGTGTCAGGGTTGGCCAGCAGACTCTGCATCAGAGGGCTCTCCATCAGCTGCGACATTAGCTCCGGGTTACTCATCAGCTGCTGCTGGGCCTGCATCATCTGACTCTGGAAATCCCCTCCTCCCGTCCCCAGTCCCATTCCCATTCCAGTGGAACCGGTCTCTGCCCCTCCTCCACCACCACTGGCAGGAGAACTGGACGATGCTGAATTAGAGTCCTGCTGAGTCTGTGGGAAGAGGAACACCTGATACAAGGAACTACAGCAAGAGAGAGAGAAGAGAGAAGAGAGAGATGTCTCACTTGCGATTGGCCACCAGACCTCACTACTACATGAACAGTAACTCCAGACTTCACTCCTGTGGCAGAGGAAAAGTGTGTTGGAGTATGAGTCCAGAGGGTGTGAGGTATATTGTAGAGTGTACCTTGGCTCTCCAGTGTCTCCTCGTCTTTGAGGATCCGTCCAGCGAATATGAGGCACAGCTGGGCGACTGGGAGGTTACCTTTCTTTTCTGACAGGTGTTCCTTCAGCTGAGGAAGAGGGGGAAAGGGAAGAAGTCGCTAGAACGGCCGAATCACTGAAGATTAGCGGGCCACGGACACTGTGGAGTGATACCTGTTTGGCGGTAGCGTCCGCGGGAACTTCTACTTCGATCTTCTCTTTCGTCGTCTTGACAGTGAGCCTCAGCTTCTCGCTCGTCTCCTCCGCCATTTTGTTTGATCAGCACTATACGTCATGCGCCTCGTGACGTCAATTGTTCTAGTGCGCATGCGCGGATATATAGCGTTCTGAGCCAGCTCAAAATATTTTCAGGTGACGACACAAATTCACCAGACAACAAAAACTGAGAATCCCAAAAAAAGTAATGTGCTCAGAGTCTCTGCTTATACACACATTATAATCAGGAAGGTGTGGCACTTGATGAGCAGCAAAACAGGCTGGAGAGACCACGCCCACTCTCCCCTCTCTCTGCCTTCTTCTTGGCGAGGTAATCCTCATTCTCCTTGCTGCGAATGCAGCGCACTATCTCAAAGAACACCTCCTCCACATTGTGACGAAGAGCAGCCGACGTCTCGAAAAATGGACAGTTGAACTCTTTTGCCATGGCCTCCCCTTCTCTGGTGGACACCTGCCGTCTGTGACAGAATTACATCATCATGACATCACCCGGAGTGATGGTACAGTAGTCCTCACCTCTGGCCCAAGTCGCTCTTGTTCCCGGCAATAACGATAGGGACAGACTCGTAGTTGCGAACGCGATCAATCATTTCCTTGAACCGATACAGTTCGTCGTAGCTTCGTTTCTCTGTGATGGAATAGATTAGGATGAACCCTTCTCCTCCTCTCATGTACTGCTCTCGCATCGCTGTGAACTCATCCTAATATACAGAGACCCAGGGATATAGAACAGGTGGGAGGGAAACTATTATATACAATGATCAGACACCAATGGACAGAAGAAAATGTCAAATTGCATGTGTAAGAACTGTTCTTGGGGAAAGAAAATGTGTCCTTATTTCAGGGAAGTCCTTAGAGAGAGGGGTTGCCACTGACCTGGCCAGCTGTATCGAGAACATCCAGTATTCCAGGATGATTGTCAATGACTACTTGCTTCTGATAGGCATCTTCTGCTCAACAGAGAAAATACTAGTTACAGCAGAGGTGCCACAGAGGTAGTTATATACCTATGGTAGGATCGTGGTCTTCTTGGAATATGTGAGACACAAACTGCAATGTCAGAGCTGCACAGAAATAGAAGTAGTACTGAACTGTGTACAGCTATCAAAAGGGATTGAAAATAAACTGCCCACCCGGAGGCAAGATCAGCAGCTACTGTTGACTCTGCCACCAGTGGATGCTAAAATACACACTCCTTAGGAAAAGTGGCTGGTGTTTATAAAGTGAGGTGCTCCATTCACAAGCACAGCAGAAGTCCTGGCCCAAGGCTCAGGTGACATGCCAAAACCTGAACATTACAGAGGACATCTGGATCTAGATGGAGACACTGAGGTTGGAGGGAGGTGGAGGGGATATGAGAGCTAGAGGGTCAGATCATGGACCGTTTAGCAGCGAACACCGCCAACAGCTAGGACCTGAGCAAGGCAGGGAAACTAGACAATGTTGTAGGGTCTTCGAACACTCTAAGGTAGTACAGACGACATGTCCCGTGTGCGAAGGACAGGCTGTGTTGCTCGTCGTGTGCATAAAGAGGGATGGAGAGATGAAGGGGCGATCCTCTCTCACCGGATTTCCCCACGCCACCCTGGCCGAGAACGACGATCCTGTACACTCTGTTCCCGGACTGAAACCTGGCGTTGGGGCTGTGGTGGAGCTCCGTTCCCTGGGGCGTCGGCATCGCTAGCTCCTGCAACTTTCCTCCTCTGCACACTGCTCTGCCGGGCTAAGTAGTAGGAGGGAATCCCCTGAGAACGGCTTTTATGCGAGAAAACTTGTTACTATCTTTAGAACATCACTAGCGCGTAAACAAAAATGTGTCTTCGCGCATGCGCAGTGTGGCATGAAGATTCCAGGAACGAGGAAGGGAAAGCGTGGAAGTTCCGTCTTGTGTTTCAGTCAGTTTGCGGTCTAACTGCCCCGTGTTGGTGCTGGATGTGAAAAATGAGCTCGTCTCGGACCGCCAGTCCGTTGATCGTCACTCAGAAACCTCCCAGAGCCTCGCGTGAGCCGCACAACTGTTGCCGCACAACTGTTACTGCACTGTGTTGCTAATTGCGTTTACAGAGTAGCTGTGTTTACTGTGTTAGCTGTGTAGTTGCATGGAATGGAGTTGTTAGGGTAACAAGTATATACCGCTACATGTCCTGTCCCCACCCAGTGACGCATCAGGACTCTGTTAGTTCATCAGAAGAGGACTGGGAAGACACTTCTCCTCTCCCTCCTCCCTCTCCCTCTGCCTCTGCCTCTTACCCTCCCCACCACTGTCTTCACCCTCACTCCCCAACACCCTCCTCCCTCTCCGGCACCAGTCAAGAAGAAGAAGAAAAAGAGGAAAGGTTCGTTTCTCTTCAGACGTAAGAAGAAACGGGGGAGTCAGGAACCAGAAGAGGCCCAGGGAGTGGTGAATTCCGACGGAGGGGAGGATCTCGTTGATTTCGCCGATGTTTTGGAGCACCCGAGTCTTGTTCATTTGAAACCTGCCTACTCAGCGGATCGACATCTCTCTCTTCCAGCCCCTGTAATCTCACGCTCGTTAAGCGATTCTCAGGTATTAGTTTTTGTGTATCACCAAAACTTATGAGAATTAATACCTGAAATATTTAGTGATGTTTTGTAGGACGGTCTACTTAGGTTCTTGTGATGTCATATTAAGTCGCTATGTTTCTTGTCTGAAGGTGCACAAGGCAGGTTTGGAGTCTGACGGACTAGGAGAAAGAGGAGGAGAGGCGGAGAAAGACTACCTGGTACAGGTGACTCTGGTGTCGGGGCACGGACTAGCAGTCAGAGATAGGACAGGTGAGACTCCAGCGAAGGCTGGTAAACACCTGGAGTATGGCCAGATATTACTACACAAAATATTGTCAGAGTTTGTCTTTCAGTGTAGCAGATATTTGGCATATCAGTGAGTTGTGGGTGAGTTAACAATCAATCTTTAATACCCCCCAGGGACTAGCGATCCGTATGTAAAGTTCAAATGTGGGCAGTTCAAGTACCGTTCCATGGTTGTGAACCGCAATCTGAACCCGGAATGGAACGAGGCATTTTCCTTCATCACGAGCCAGCTGAGTGCCCCGCTGGAGGTCAAGGTCTACGACCATGACTTTGGCTCCATTGACGACTACATGGGCGGAGCCATTGTCTCGCTGGACTACCACGCCCACGGAGAGTGAGCTGTACCATTCATCCAGTGTCCTCTGCTGTACTCGTACAACGCCCCCACCTTTCATTACTCTAAACCATACAACAAGTTTGTACGTCTAAATGTATCTGAGCTCCTTAATTCACTGCGTTTCAATGGCGATCATTTTACTAATGCACTTCTCCTACAACTACCTCATCTCATTTCCCCAGACTCAGGATTGTAAATGTTGGTCTGGCAGACCCCAGTGCTAGGGAGACGTCGCTGGGCTACATTAGATTATTCCTACTCATTTCTGAATACACCGAAGAGGTCTGTTCACGATGATAATGTCACCACTGCCGAGTCTATTAATAGTAACAACGTGTTCCATGTATAGCATGGTGAGCTGGATAGTACAGTACCTCATTCCATTCACGAGTGGAACAGCATTCTGACCATCCACCTCCTGAAGGGGAACAAACTCCCAAGTATGGACACCAATGGTGAGTCTGCCTCCCAGTGTTACACCTCTTACTGAAATATTGAATGAGAAAATCTGTCCAGTTTATTGAGAAAGATTGTAGGCTGGAACCATTTATACAAAATTGCGTTCCATGGCTTTGTTTCATGTCACCAATGTATGAGTGTTGACTGGTGAAATATGATATGGTACTGATAACCTGGCAGGATTCAGTGATCCTTACTGCAAATTCAAACTGGGTCGGCAGAAGAGGAGGAGCAAGGTACAGGCGTGTGGGCAACTCTTGTCCCTCACTCTCTCTCTCTCTCTCTCTCCTCCCTCCCCTCTGCGGGTGGCAGGTGGTGAGTCGGTGTCTGAACCCAGACTGGAAGGAGCAGTTTGACATGAGGATGTACAGGGGAGAGCCGACCACTCTCCACATTGAGGTCTGGGACTGGAACCTCATGCAGCCTGACGATTTCATCGGCGAGTGAGCTGCCACACCCACACCCAACATTCCCTTGTCTCTCTTCCCTTTATGGCACACTCTCTCTGTCTGTCTCCTATGCCTCCTCTCTCAAGGACCTGTGTGGAGTTGGATACTCTGAGTAAAGAGCAGACACATGATCTGACACTTCCTCTCTCTGGAGATCTTCCTGACTATGACAATGGTAGTCACTCTAGTCTAGCTGCAGGACCCCATGTGTCATGATTACACACACGGAATCTTGTGTGGCAACTGTTGAAACTAAATCATAGAGAGATATTTATTACCAACACTTGATTCCCTGCAGGTACAGTCCATCTCTTGCTGACAATCACTGGCACCACTGCCCAAGAGGTGGTGGACGGAGGAACAAGTCTGTGTCCTTACCCCCGGAGAGCCGTGGAGGTCGTCGAAAAGGAAATGAGAGATCTGATGAATAAATACGTGAGTTGTGTCTGTGTGTCTGAATGAAACTGAATATGTGTGTGTCAACAACAGGTGCTTTCTCGTTCCTTGAACTTTCACCAGTTGGGTGACGTTGGACACGTGACTGTTGTCAGTAGGTCTCCACACATGCAACTACATATCACCCCATCCCCACCCTCCACACACTCACTCCACCTCAGTTGAACGTGTGGATGGACTGACAAAGACGGCTGATGTGTTTGCCATTGCGGAAGTTGGGAACTCCCAGGCCCGGACTCACACCATCTACAAGACAACCAGCCCTCAATGGAACAAAGCCTTCCACTTGTCAGCCCCCCACCCTCTCTATAATCTTCAGTCTTTGCCGTGTGTTGTGCAGTGATGTGAAGGACATACACTCAGCACTGGAGATAGCAGTCTACTCAGACAAGAGCAAACCTGAGCTGATCGGAAAAATCAAGATTCCATTACTGAGGGTACATCTCTCTCTCTCTCTTTCTCTATATACATTTTGCCAAGAATACCTGTTTCTCTCTCACACACACAGTTAGAAAACAGGCTCAACAGGGGATACGTTCTGAAGAGCAAGCGCTGCGTCGAGGCCTCGCAGGGTGTGCTCTATTTGAAGTGCGAGTTGGCCTACCAACCAGTCAGAGCTGCTCTCAGAACTCTCAAACCGAGAGAGAGCAAACTTATGGAGAGGGAGGCTCCGTTTCAGCGAAAGGTCGGTGGAAAATTCCGACGCCCTCCGTTGAATAGCTCACACTTTGTCCAGGTTCTAATGCACAACATAAAGAGGATCACTGCACTAGTCAACGACCTGTCGTCATCAATGGCGATTATCAGACACATCTACAACTGGGAGAACAAGTTACACTCGACACTAGCTCTACTGGTGGGCCCTTAACTAGGTAATTATCCAGTTTTAAGCACCCATGGGCTGTTATTACAGGTGTTTATTGGAGTGTGTGTGATACTGGAGCTGTGGATGGTGCCCCTGTTGCTGGTGGGAGGTCTGGCGGTGCAGTATGTACTGGTGTACGGGAGAGGGCACCACCGGTGGCAGAGACTGGCCAAGAGACAGAGCATCACCGCCAGCTCAGAGTCTCTGGACAGACCTCCACTTGAGGTGTGTGAAACGCAACAGGCCAGGCTCCAACAGATCCAAAGCTATCAGACAAGGCGAATTGCCGCCGAGTCTGCCGAGGAGAGAGAGGGTCGACTACAGTTACTGCACAGGCTTTTTTGCGCATGCACACAATCGTTAGATCGCTCCCGCTCGCCAATAATGCAGTGCATTCACCTATATACTAGTAGTATATACATAATACATTAGTATTTCATTGGGAGTGTTGTGAACATGCACTGTTTACCAGAAGTGTACATGTGTAGGTGGTGGGGGGGGAGTGGTCAGATCTCGATGATGATCTGGAGGAGGAAGGGAAGGGAGGGAAGGGAGGACGCAATCTGAGAGGAAAGTTCCGACAGATCCAGGGCATTTTGCTGATTGTGCAGAATGTTCTCGGGGAGATTGCCGACAATGGAGAGAGACTCAGCAAGTGAGACACACCGCTAGCTGTGGTGTACAGTGGAACCAGTCCTCATTTCAGGGGGTTCCACTGTACCATATAAGGTTCATCATGACTTGTTTTATTTCCCAGTCTGTTTGCGTGGAAGGTCCCGTTCTTGTGTTGGCTGTGCATCTCCCTCCTGTCTCTGGTGACAGTATTGACTTACCTCATTCCTCTGAGATACATCATCCTTATCTGGGGTCAGTCCACCACTAACACACCGTCCTCCATTCACACACTCCCCGTCCTCCCTCACCACATTCACACACTCCCCATCCTCCCTCACCACACTCACAGGAGTCAACAAGCTGACCAAGAAGCTGCGAAGACCGAACTACATCCCCCACAATGAACTGATGGACCTGGTGTCTTGCTCCCCCACGGACCACGACCTCCTTCAGTTCAGAGAACTCCCACTGCGTCGCCTGTCTGCTGCTGTCACCAGCAGGGGGCGGAGCCACGGAGGAAAGCCACACCCACGATCTCGGTCTCCACAGCTACGTCCTCGTTCACAGTCGAATGCACACCCGAAGAAAGCCCAGGTCCAGCAAGCTAACTAGCCAAGACATCAATCACCACTTTTGATTCCATTCATGTTTATATACATAATATAAAAAATATTCCATCATGTCACGGTTCCATTCTGGTTCATGTCCTGGTTCCATTCTGGGTTTGGTGTCCAGATTCCATCACAGCTCCACGCCGGCCTTGTCCACGACGAATGGTTGGAATATCTTCAGTTTTCCACAGTCGGTGATCACCACTGGCTGCAGTGGGCGATCTTTCTCATCTGTTGGAGTGTTTGAAGCACGATACACCAAATCCTGGGTGGGTGTGGTCAAAGTCAAGACCATGACATCATCATTACATCACTCACCATTCCTTCCAGGACCTTTCCGAAGCAGGTGTGCGAGTCGTCAAGCCACGGGCACTTGACGACGGTGATGTAAAACTGAGATCCGTTGGTGTCGGGCCCGGCGTTGGCCATGCACACCCAGCCTGGTCCGTAGTGGCCAAGAACGAAGTTCTCGTCTCTGAAATTGCCTCCATATATGCTGTAGCCTCCAGCTCCGTCTCCGATAGAGAAGTCTCCTCCTTGCATCATGAAGTTTGGGATGATCCTGTGGAAATTCGAGCCTCTGTAGCCGTAACCTTTCTGCAGGGAGAGAAAATGTAGCTACACACGGAGTCAAGGGAACCGACACACTCCCACTGGGTCTTGTGGTAGAACTATGGCTTGCCTCGTGCGTTGCCAAAGCGACGAAGTTGCGGACGGTCTTGGGCGCGGTGGCTCCGAAGAGGCCGATGATGACGCGACCTGCAGGCGCGCCCTCTATCTCCAGATCCAGGTAAACCTCCTCCGTCACTACTGCCTCTTCCGTCTGAGCCCACGTGACTCCGAGGACCGTCGCCCCCTGCAGCAGCAGACAAACACTCCACACGCCAAACGACATCGTTTCTCTCCTGTCCGATCTCTCGCTCCTTCTCAGTACGTTCTCCCAACAACAAAAGACTCGGTATAACAATGGTTGAACTTCGCACTCTACCACGTGGGGGGCGGGGCTAGTAGAATTAACCAACCAATCAGCTGTCTACACGCACACACGCGGTTTGTATCGCTGGCTTCCCCACTGTTGTTGTATGCCTAGGGTTGGCCTCCTGTGTAAGATGGCGACTCTCACAACCGCTCTTGCCGCTGCTGTCTTTCTTCTGTTGACTCTCAACACTCCCGCCACTGCAAAGAAAGGTCCCCGCGTCACGGAGGTGGTACGTGCGTACAGGGCTAGTCACGTGCGATCCCTACACTGCTGCACTGTGCGCCCGCGTTTCTCTACTGCAGGTGTTCTTTGACATGGAGCAAGGCGGAGAGGATCTTGGGAGAATTGAAATAGGACTCTTCGGAGACAGCGTCAACAAGACCGTCACCAACTTCAGGGAGCTGGCCAAGAGGGTGAGCAGATCACGTGATGCTGCTGTGGGCGTGGTCCGGGAGTCCTTCATGGACACGTGTTTTATCCCATCTGAGCTATGTGTGGTGTGTCTTGTTCGATGTAATTGTTTCACATGATCCTACATTGGCCCACCCTTTCTCTCCCACTCCCTTAGGACAAGAATGGCTACAAGGGGAGCGCATTTCATCGAGTCATTAAAGGTTTCATGATACAAGGTATGTGCTTGCCGCTGGCTTTATTGCATAGTTTTGGTTGCCGTGGTGAAAGGTGGGACCTGCACGTGTGCCCAGTTTCACTGAGAGCATCAAAGATGTCTTGTTGGCCGTGCGCAGTGCCAGGATATAATTGATGGGAAACAAAGAATTTTAACTTGGTTTTCGTCTATAGCAACACTTGGCTTTTGTGGATGCAATGCAATTAATTACCGACAGCCTCATTTGGACGCGGGATGATAATACACCCTGTGTTAATGTGATCAGCGATGTTCGAGTTTGCCGACACCTGTATCTCCCACACTTCACTCCCTCTTTTATCTCTCCCCCCTCTCGTTTTCCCCCCTGCTAGGTGGCGACTTCACTAAAGGAGATGGGACTGGAGGAGAGAGCATATACGGACCTCGCTTTGCCGATGAGAATTTCAAGCACAAGCACCTGGCACCTGGGTATCTGAGCATGGCTAATGCAGGTCAGTGGAAATTGAATATCAAGTGCCTATTGTACGTGACCATTTAGCTTCATTTGAGCTCTCAACATTATTCATATTCTCCTATCCCACTGTTTCCCAGAGACCTTGGGGTAATAAATACACTCCATACTAGTCAAGTGTGACCTTGTGCAGTGGGCCCTTAGGGCAGTCTGGGTGTGTGTGTGAATAATGAAGACACCTGTTACCTGCTTGTGTGGCTGATTGAAGACTAGGCTTCCAGCCAACTCTCGTTCTCACCTCTCACAGGCAAAGATACGAATGGGTCTCAGTTTTTCCTCACTGTCGCCAAAACTCCATGGCTGGACGGACGACATGTTGTGTTTGGAATGGTTCTGGAAGGAATGGTGAGTGGGGGGGCAGACAGGGGGTTGCGAGGCTGGGAAGGTTAGACGGCTTAGCAGGTTTTCTTGGTGGCCAAAACACGACACCTGCCAAGACGGAGAGCAGTTTCAGTCACAATAACATGTGTCTCTGTCGCCGGGACTACACGCGGCAGTTTTCTCCACACACACACTCTCCCCTCTCTCTCTCTTTCTCTCCTCCCCGCAGGATGTGGTCACTACAATAGAGAACACTCCAACAGGTCCTCAAGACAGACCCAAGACAGCTGTCACCATCAAGGACTGCGGTACCCTTCCCCTCGACAAGCCATTCAATATAGAAACCTGAGAGATCGCAACTAACAGCAATCAGTGTACCATTAAAAACTATTGCAACCAAAAAACTGTACAAGTTGCACTGCAATTTTGAGATAGAAAAACACGTGCACGTCAGCAAGCAAATGTGGGAGAGAGAGAAAGGGAGGGTGCAGTCTCTAAACTTGTCCAGTGGAGAGCTGCTGCCTTGTGGGGAGCAAGTTGTGTGGACGAAGGGTTAACATGCTCAGTGATGTGATTGGTCAGTTACTGTGGCTAGCAGTGAGCGTCAGGCGACAGTGTCCTCCGCTGGCTTGGCATCCTTCTTGTAGAACTGATTGGCCTCAATGGTTCTGCTGATCCAGGATCGAAACTCTGCCACTGACAGACTCGCAGCACTGGCACAGAATGGGTGGTTCTAGGGGATGATGTAATAATGACATCACCCACACAACAAATTGCTCACTCACTCACCAACAGCGTCTTTAGGTCGCCTCTTCTCTTTGGCTCTTTTTGTAAGCTGAATGAATGACACAATATTACATAAGAGCCATGTAGAGGTTGAAGAATTACCAGAGCTCAACAAACTGCCTGAATTCATCAGAAAAGTACTTTGGAGACAGCTGTGGTGGATCCTGTGAGGAAAGAGGAAGATGTAGTGCAGGTGTTGATTTGTTGTGTGTCCTCTTACATTGGAGCAGATGATTTGCAGCAGCTCAAATATGGGCATGCGAATGGCATTAGCATGTGAGGCAAAGGGGTTCCCCCTGGGACGAGGAGGCAGAGTCCCAGCAGGCCGGCGGTTGCGCCATCTCTTCCTCCAACTCCGACTCTGGGGGCTGGGGTATGGGGTAACGACCGAGAGCCATCTCCACCAGGGATACTCCGAGACTCCAAATGTCGGAGAGAATGGAGTAGACTGTTCCCTGGAGTCTCTCCGGCTGGCAGGGGAGGTGGAGTGGGGCACTAAATAGAACGTCTACACAATCCATGGGTTTTCTGGTGAAGAAAGCTATCTGTGCCCCCCACTTATAAAACAGTTGATTTTTTGCAGAGGAAAAGTTAAGGGACTGGAGAACTCTATGTGCCTCAAAAGTTGCAATATCACAGAGTCGACTCACTGCCATGTAGGATCGAGTTCCAACAAAGGAGTTGGCCATGGAGTCAATGAGCTGCCCACTCACTCCAAAGTCACACAGTTTCATTTCCCCGAGAGAATTGACTAGAATATTGGACGGCTTCACATCTGTGGGTGTGGTCGGCCAGAGTAATTAGTAGGCGTGGCCAGCATTACTAATTAAGTAGGTGTGGTTTCACGTACCTCTGTGGATGATTTTGTGGGTCTCTCTAAGATACTGGAGTCCTTTCAGAACCTGGCAGACAGACACCAAAACACCAAAACCAAATATTATTACACCCACTACAAAAATCTTCAAACTGAGAAATTCAGAGATTTGTCTTCCCCACTGCCTTGAAATGGACACTGAGAGCAACAAATGCACTACATCTTATGGCTGGTGGAGCACACCACATTTATGTCACGGGTGTACCCGAGACTAAAGCATTGGATAGAAATACAAGGAATTGGTCCAATTCTTTTAGTGGAGGCTTGCTTCATGTATATACCAATGAAATTCTACACACCAGTCAAAGATGGGTAGGAAGTATATAATAACTTACTGCTCTCGTAATGCAGGCAATCATGTCAACTGGAATGCGCCCCGCCCCCAGAATGAGATCCAGACTTCCGCCGTTCTAGAGACGTCATCACCAATGACGTCACACACAGAGGTCAGAGGTCAGAGCTCACCATGTGTTGCATACAGATGGAGATCTCGTTGTTGGCGCAAAACGAGCCGTAGAACCCCACGATGTATGGGGAGTTGCACTCGTGGAGGACCTTCAGTTCCCTCATAATCTGGTTCCTCACCGCCGGCTTGATGTCCAGCATTATCATCTGGTGGTAGTAGAAAAGAGAAAGAAAGGGAGAGAGACAAAGTATGGGGTGAGTTAATTCATTACTACTGCAGCTATTGTGTGGAGGTAATGGCCGCTACTCAGCCAACAGTGGCAGTGAGAGGCAACTGTCAGCAGAGGCCAAAGAAAACCTTTTACTACACATTGTCTGCTAACCACCTACATCCTCTCTTTTCTCATCGTCCAACTCCCCACCCC